TGTGCAGCTTGCTGAACCCTTTTGAAGGTTTTCCCACAACCAGTTATCATCTTTTAATTTTATGCTCTGTGTGAGCTTTGTTTTGACATCTCCCTAATATGTTATTGTGTGTGCTTGAAAGTGTCAAGTGGCTCCTATCGTACACTATAGACGCAGGCTGCCGGACTTGAACCACAGAGGGATTTTTTGTACATGTCCCTAAGTATTGTAGTGACTTACTCCCTTGGTCCAGTGCACTAATTGTACATCATGTAAACCAGGGAGTAGTATTACCGAGAGTGAATAAGCTCCTGTACTCTTCCTGGTACTGTATTATTTTTTTAATATCAAGAGTACATAATAACCCGCAGGGGTAGGGGAAAAAACTGCTCTGGCTGCTCCAGCCTCAAGGCCGGAGCAAGCAGAGCATGTTCTGGCCGATCCAGAACAGGTGCAGTCAAAACCAAACACACTGTTCTGGTGAATCCTGTTCTAGGTTGTACCAAAAAGGGCGATTCACAATACAACTTTTTGCGACGCGACACTCGATTTGCGATAGTTGCGACAAGAAAATGCCTGTCGCGAGCTGTCGTGTACAGCCGCAAGGTGCCTGCACTTACCTGTCTATAGAAGTTGAAACTTCAACTTTTGCGACATGCGACGCGCGACGTTCACAAATGGAGTACAGTTTCTACATTGGGTGCACGTGCATAGTACTGTAAAACCGGAATTTTTTTACAACCAAAGGGGAAGTATACCCTAAAATCAAATTTTCACCAGTTGTAGTCTTCGGGGTGCTGAGTCGAATGGTCTTGGTCCGAGAAAGCTGAGACGCTCCCTGAGACACTCCCTTCCTCCTTTATTCCCAATCGCACTTCCACCGAAACTGGGTGACTGCGCCCTACTATAATATATTGTAGATAGGGATTTGTATGGAAAAAGTCACTAAAAACGCCGTTTCGTTCTTATAAAAGCACGGATGACCGCGATTGTTCCATATGTTGTAGTCTTTTGGCCGCTGAGTCGACTGGTTTTGGTCCGAAAAGGCTGCGATGCAGCATTCGGCCCTTATTCCCAATCGAACACGGTTGAGTAAGTGGTCACGTGCTCATTTACAGCCTATGTCACTCGAGTTGAACCTTTGAACCAGGGAGTCGTAAAAGCCTCTTACGACTCCCTGCTTTGAACCTTTGAGTTGAATCTTGATGTGAAAATTGTAGTCTGCAGGCACGGTGACCAGACGACTGGTGTACGCATGAGCACGTGACTGCTTACTCAACCGTGTTCGATTGGGAATAAGGGCCGAACGCTGCATCGCAGCCTTTTCGGACCAAAACCAGTCGACGCAGCGGCCAAAAGACTACAACATATGGGCCAATCGCAGTCATGCGTGCTTTTATAAGAACGAAACGGCGTTTTTAGTGACTTTTCCATACAAATCCCTATCTAGTAGGGCGCAGTCACCCAGTCTCGGTGGAAGTGCGCGAGTTCGATTGGGAATAAAGGAGGAAGGGAGCGTCTCAGCGTCCTCGGACCAGGACCATTCGCGACTCAGCACCCCGAAGACTACAACTGGTGAAAATTTTATTTTAGGGTATACTTCCCCTTTAAACGTTTTTGTTATTTCGGCATGATAACGTGCACATCTCGAACCAGGTTCGCGATAACGTTTCTTTAAAATAACGAAAAACAATTAGTCGTCAAAAAGTTAGGCTTTGTGACTCGTTAGACTTTCCGGTTTTACTAGTGCATAGGAATGTCGCAAACATGAAACAGATTGTGAACTGAGTGTCGTGTTGCTGTCGCAGGTGTCGCAAGTCACGTTGCAAAAAGTTGTATTGTGAAACGGCCTTTTGAACGTATCCAGATTGGCAGAAAAAAAAGACCGTCCCAGGCCAAAGCCTTAGAAACAACGTTCTTGGGCAAGCAACTCTACTGTACCAAACCTGAAGATACATTGTAGATCAAAAAGTTAACGCCCCTAAGACATACCGGTACTATTAAAAAAAAACTTCGCCGTGGGAGTGATTTTCTGCAGAATGGATAGGGAGCTGCACACTCTGGTTTACGTATGTACATTTAGGCTGCGTTCATTTTTAGCTACCCAGTAGAGTAGAGTCATTCTACCGATAGAGGTAGACGGTAGAGGTAAGTGCACCGACGCTGTTCTACCGGATGTAGTTTTCTGTACGTGAAAGGTTTCTCTTCTGTATGGAGTTGTGTACAACTCCTTGATCTTGCTGGAATTCCCGTACCTCTACCAACGTCTACCGGCTTCTACCAACTTTTTCTTGGTAAAGCTGGTAGAGGAAAGTAGAATCTAACCTTTTGAGTAGAAAAAACCGAATACCTCTACCGAAAGAAGCAGTTTCTACATTAGACTTTTGGGGCGACATGCGATGGAAACACGCCGAAATGGAAATTCCAACACCTACCAACATACATGCCAGTCACTTTCACTGGTGGGGTCAACAACAAAATTCAGTACTCGAAGGCGTCGCACGCCCTAAAAATGAGTCAAATTGCTGTTTTTTTGTGAAAGCCTGTGCGCGCATTTGGGTACGCATGAACCGCACACGCCAGTTGGGAACACAGCTTCACTCATGGCCCAACAATATCCAGGGAAAATGATTACAAAAATGATTGAAAAATCGCACCAGGGCCAAACTGAGCAGAATTGCACACTCTTGATCTCACTCGCAAGTTTGTGCGGTACCCATCACCGAAAGAAAGCCAAAGTCTGCCTTGACTGCTCATTCCACCAGCACATGTTCATTACATGTACACCATACAGTCGACCTAGAAAAAAACGACAGTCTACAAAGTGTGTCCTTATTCGCGAGTTGTGGCCATACCCGAGGTCGTTATTCAAGAGGTTGACGGTATTTTAGCCCAACAAATTAAATTGTGCTACCAATTCGTACCGTATACCGTATGTCAGCGCCTTTAAAGCCATGGCCTTATATTCGAAACACCACTGCTTTCCTAGATGTTTTATGTGCAAAATGACTCACCCACTACGCCATGCCTTAAAAGTTAAAGTCCACACAGAAATTTCAATCTAAATCCACTTGTTCACCCTTCCTGCTGGGCTGTAAGTTTGTTAGCATAGTTCTTATTCCTTCATTTTTACAAAACGTACTTCAAACCATTGAGTAGTACAATACCGGTATTGTACTACTCCCTGCTTCAAACGTCATTTCATTTATGAAGCCCATGGCTTTATAACTGAGACTGGCTTTATAATCGAATATAGCGCCATGGCTTTAAAGACATACGGTAAGTGTTTAATAACATACCGTATTTTCCGGAGTATAGTGCGCACCTTTGTATAATGCGCACCCCCGATCTTCATTGGGGGGTGCGTACTTCAATCTTCATTGGGGGTGCGTAATTCAATCTTCATTGAAGTACCGCCAGAGCGCCCCACCATCTCGTCCTTTCGTGGCCGCCTTGTGGAGGTGGATTCCTGTCTGTAGGTCATACGGCACGGACCTTGTACAAACATTGCACAGTGTGCAGTCAATCCGTACCCAGTTTACCTTCGAGCGCCACATAAAAGCATACCAAGTGTGACCTTAGTACACGAAGGTTCTCACACCGTACAAACTTAGTAGCATTCTGCCATACGATTTTCTTCCCTTGGCTGTAAAATAAAGGTGGGGCGCTGTCGTGAGACGGGGCGCTCTGGCGGTACTTTACGGTACATGCATTTCATATTCGGAGCATAGGGCGCACCTGCGATTTAGGGCCTAAAATAGCACATCTAAAGTGCACACTATACTCAGGAAAATACGGTAATTTTTGGTGTAATAAAATTTCGGTGCCCGGGGACCTGGCCGGTTTCAGGTGTAATGTACAGAATTGTAGAAGTAGGTGACCAGCCTACCCTTCATATACAGTACATACTCTACAGTAGAAGGGCGCATCCAATAATGTCGTTTCCATTGTTTCTAAGGTCTGGCCCCCGTGAATTCCACGATTCCGCGGAATTCAGAAAATCCCACGGAATATTGCAGAAAAGAGAGAAAACTGCCTTTTCTGGAGTATTTCACAGCCAAACCATCCTGCTTGTGACTTTCAAAATCAACTTGCACGGTACATTTTGGAGCTTTCAATTTTTTGGACCAGTATTTCGTATAATTTTGGTTCAGAATTAGGGCGCGTTCTTATATTCTCTAGCTTCTAGGAGAAGAAGAAAAGAGAAGTCGAAGAAAATGGGATCATTCAAGAACGGGTCTCGAAGAATTCGGAGATATTTTGCACGTGTCAAGCAAAATGAAGCGCCAAAGGGGCCGCGATCTTGAGTGATGTAGTATGCACGTGTGCGTATGCGTAAAGGGAAATGCGTACACTCATGATGAACACGTGGATTTTTAGTCGTAGTTCGCATGCGCTGATCCCAAACCGCGGGAATCTCCAAGTTTCAACCACCTCTGAAGCTTGGAGAGCCTCCTAAAAGTCGGAGAGGATAAGAACAGTTCTCGAACTTTTCGGAGAGAATTTAAGAATGCAACCTTAATATAGGGACAAGCTTCGGTGGGGTTGCGGAAATTCAATCTGTTTTTACACTCATTTCCGTTGCAGAGTTGCCCCAGAATTTGCAGAATCAGCGCAGAATTTAATGTTTTCAGCCACAGAATTCTGCACGGAATGTCTGATATTCTGCCGCGGAACTCACGGGGGACAAGAAGGTGCTATACTGTCCCCTTGGAAAAACGCAATTCCGCAACAAATTTCGCAGAAATTGCCATCATCCGCGGAAATCACGGTATCCACACTATTCTGTCCCTCCAGGAACTTGCGATTCCGCGGCCGCGTTGTTTTCCGCGATTTGAACAAAAGTCCGTGATATCCGCGATATTTGAAAAATCATGCGCGTTATTGTAGAAAACTGTCCTTGATACTTGAAAAGCACCGCGATATTTCGAAAAGCAACCGCGATATTCGGGTCTTTCTTCGATGTTGTTTAGTTCTTGAAGCTCATCAGTAGTTTGCTTGTGAGATCGACACCAGAATGGAGAAGTTTCTGGGCAAATCAGCGGCTGACAAGTCACAAAATAAGGCTCGCGTCGAGTGTTGTCCGAGGATGGAGGAAAGCTGTCTTGCAGTTGAACACAGTCAGCGCAGCACACGTACGTTCTGTTTTGTCATGCATGATTTATGCTGTACGACCCGTACATCGTACACCACTACATGTATACAGTACAAGTACCAAAATCGGCCGCAATTTCCGCAATTTTACCACAATAATCCCGCAATATTTGACAAAATCCGCAATATTCCCCGCAATTTGTGGCATTTTACCTCGCAACTTTTTCCGCGATATTTCCGAAATGTCTCCGCAAGTTTCTGGAGGGACAGACTATTGCCCGCGGAATTTGAATTTTTAGGATAAATTAGTAAAATTACTACTCAGAAAGCAGCAAAAAACTACTTTGCGATCTGTTTGAGCACATTATGCCCTTGCGAGTGTAGTTTAGAATCTCCAAGATTCTTCACTCTCATTCAGTTTATGACTGCAAACGATAGTGTGAAAAGTACTCCTTCAGGCACAGCAAGCAAGGAGGGTGAAAAACTTGCAGAAAGTGCCGCAGATTTTTGATTTCACCACAGAAAATGCCGCAGAAAGTCCCCCTTTTCCCCGCGGAATTTGCCGCGGAATATTGAATTATTAGCCGCGTTTTTCCAAATGGACAGGAGCCTATAAGAACGAAGCCATACTGCCCAACAAAATAAGAACACCCAGGCAAACCCCTTGGAAATGACGTTCTTGGACGGGCGACTACTGCATTGCGTTTCGTCTTCAGGCAAGTTTGAAACAAGTGGTAGGTGTACCATCTGCAAGTGGCTTGTATGAGGATTTCCACAAGAGCCTTTGTACTGTGTCACAGTGTGTGTGAATGCAGTCTAACAGTCTGGGACAACGTGTACTCAAGTTAACGAACATGCAAAACCTGAAGCCAGAAAACCCAACCAGCATCACGATGAACTGATAATGGTTTCTTTCAACGCTCACAGGGAGATCTGTAGAGCTACTACAGATTTTGACAACACACAGCAAGCATTACGAGTAAAGTACAAAATTGTCCCGCAGGAGATGCAAACACGAAACACAATGCAACACGGACTGGCCTTTTGACTGTTTTTATTGGCACACGAGCGAAATGTCAGGGTGACTAGAAGAAGGTGTTGGGGCGCTTGGCAACGATCTTGCTCTTGTATTGTGACTTCACCACACGATGGGGGAGTGGGAAGCGGAGCTGGGAGTCCTGCACACATAGAGACGCATACAGTAATACCAATCCATCAGGAGCATATATATCAACACATATTGACCAGAATAACAGACACGGCAAACGTTTTCAAAGAACTGGCTGACCATGCCTACTCATACACACAGATCAACAAAACTAGACCAAAATGAAAACCTCATTACAACACCGGGGTGATCATCACAGGACAATATAACACTGTTATAACAGGCACTAAAATGCCAGGTTGGAAGGCCCGTGCAAAAAAGACACAAAAAATTGGTACATGTAATAGACAACCGACGACGAGACAATAAATCAACTAAAGCCAAGAGCACTATGATCTGTGCTGTCATCACACACCAAGGCAAGTTTTTCGGGGAGGAACCAAAATGTGGTGTAATTCACCAATGGACATCGTTGATTGATCCAAAAAACCTTGCCATGACATGTGTGTGTGATTGCGGCACAGATCATCTTACATAAAGCTTGTAGCATGAAGCGCACTACTTTGGACAGGTGTACATACGTTAGTGTGGACAGCTTAGGGACCATCGCAAAAGTTCGCAGAAGCCCCCGAAACGAAGACCGTGAGTTTCGGGCCTGACCCCCCTCCCTCCCCCCTCAAACGAAACGACAGTCACAATATGGGCTTCATTTTTTCACTTGGATGCTCACACATAATAATTATTATAATAATACTACACAAGCATTGTTGTATCAGTGTGTAACAATGTACAGCACTTTATAAATGCAACGATGATATCACCTTGCAGTGGGTGATCTAAGAACGAGAACAGCTAGAGCTATGCAGTTGTATCCTTTGAGCATTACAATGAACGTTGATTGGTGTATATTGCTTTCACATTCAAGCGATCTACGCCGGCTGTGATGGCATGCTAATCCTACAGCTCCTATAATTATGTCGTCAATACTTTTTTGAATTGAAGCCCGGTTTGCGATTTTCGCACCGACTCCCTCCCCCCCCCAAACGTATGCTCTTCGTTTTAGGGGCTTCTGCGAACTTTTGCGATGGTCCCTTAGTACAGGTGGCAGAAAAACCATGATCTGCTGGCTATGTGACTTTTGACTGAAAGGTACTATAAAAATGATGTCAAGGGTAGTGTTGATGCAGTAGAGCAACTCAAGCGCAGCTGCCATTGCTCAAAGATGATCCAGACCATGAATTCTACTGTCCCAAAATGACACAGTACGTGGAGCTGCAGACTCTTATTTTGGAGGTTACACAGAAGGTGTAATCAACACAGGCCTAAGCCACTACAACTATTTGTTCGCATATTATCACCAAGCCAGGGAACAGTAGAGAAGAGTTACACACTTCAAAAGAAGTAGGTGCCATGGCAATGATTTGCTAGTTAGTATCACACAAAAGTCCTCATAATATAATGCTTCAGGATATGGGAGGCAATACACCCGAGATTTACTCAAGACTGCATCTATGCCAAGTCTGAATCGCTAGACACGGCCGTCCACTCGAACATGGCACATAACCATTTTGATGAGCTTTTAAAGACACTGACAACCAACCGATTTATGTAAGCACTGAAGTTCCATAAACGCCACAAGGGCAGCAACTTTTCCAAGGTTCGCTGTTTACGTAACACTGAACAAACATGCATACAGACACTAGTACTAGCTGTCTTGGGTCAACTCGACCAAAGCATAGTTGCTTACAAATTGTTACAAAACTCGGTTGATTCACAGTACAATAACAATGAATGTCTATATTAAAGACAGAATTGTCAAAAGAAAGAAACTAGAAGTACTGCCTATCCACTGGCAATCTCATGAACAGCACACCAACGAATGCACCCAAACTTACATGGAATTGCTTCACATGATTACGACGGCACTTGCTGGAGTTGACCACCTCAACACGCATGATCTGTACTGAGTTAGCACGGGCACGGTGACGAGCAGCCATGTCGCGGTCTAAAATAGATATACAAATAACAGAGACACGCACATTGGAGTTATTTTCAGCTCTCTCAAATAAGAAAAGAAAGAATTAAGACCCACATAGAACAGTTGAGAAGTCATAAACACACAAAGTTGCACCAGCAATGAACCATAACTGTAGGCTTAAAACGGGATTCCATGGTAAAAGACTGTCACCACTGAAACTTCAAAGAGATTTTGATTTACTCATATCCTCAGTCAAAATTTTCAAATTTGAAGAGCAGAATTGTCTAAATGACGTCTGTACTTTCAGCAAAGTTTATCCAGAAACCAACGGTCTTTGTGCCTATGTATACACTGAAGGAGGAGCTTCAACCAACTTGGCTCTACATTGCATACTATAGTAATATTCGAATTCTTTGCACAGTACCAGTAAAAGAAAGCACTGATTCGCAATGAAACGAATCATATCCTTACAGCACAGAGTGACGGCCTCAGCAACGCTCAGGGAGCGGTACTCGCGGTACATGTTGTGAGTACCACTGCGAGAGTCATAACGGATCCAGAGACCGAAGTTCTTGATACGAGTGGGTTTCTTCTCCAAAACCTATGGTGTACAAATATGCGAAAAAAACGCATATCAATTACTAGTCTTTCTCAGCAACTGCAACTCCATCCACAACTCCATATCAATCCACTGCCCACCTCAGAGCAAGAGACGATTTCTCCATTCGCCTTCTTCACCTTCTTTAGAAGGGAGGCATAGTACCAGAATTTAGATTTTGCAGCCACTACCTCAGGGGCGAAAATCTTCATTTGGTACAATGGAGTCACCGGGTTCTGCTCAGACGGCAGACGCCGCCCGATGATTTTGTACTCCTTCAGCTGCGAAAGAGAAACGCACATGAAACCACATACTTACTACCATGTCTTTAACATCTACAAAGCTATTCTCCAAGGCCAAACGCTTCGGGAAAGCTCACCGTCCCCTTCGCCTTCATGATGCCACTCGTTCGTCAAGTCAAGAGGAAGAAGCAAAGAGAAGATGGCTGACCTATAGGCATGCGCCCGACCGCACAAAATGGCGAAAAATTATACAAAAAAATTCGAAATGTGCACCATCCAAACTAAACCGAAAATATCCCGCGATGTATCGATGAACGCACTGACAATTATTTTTTGTATTTGAACAGTTTGTGATTGTCTTTCTTTCAAATTTCTCAACAAGACAGATGCAAACTTGATTAGTAATTGATAGTGTTGCTCCTGCTTTGCTGGTTATACCATCTCACGGGTGGACATGCCGTACGCCAACCAGCCGAACGTGAAGATATTGGATCTGTCTGATGAGAACGTGAAATTCACAATTGAAAATACCAATTTGAGCGTTGCGAACAGCCTGCGACGAGTCTTTATTGCCGAAGTGCCCACAATAGCCATCGACTGGATACAGATCGAGGCAAATTCCAGTGTTCTTCATGATGAATTCATAGCTCACCGGCTTGGACTAATTCCACTCACTAGTGATGAGATTGTCGACAAACTACGTTATCCCAGGGATTGTCAGTGTGATGAGTTCTGCCCTGAGTGCTCAGTAGAGTTCACCCTGGATGTGAAATGCACAGACGACAACACAAGACATGTGACTACAAAGGATCTCAACTCGTCTAATGCCCGGTGTGTGCCTGTGACTTCTCGCCAGGAGAGATCAGACTTTGCCACCGAGGACAATGACATTCTGCTCCTCAAACTTAGAAAGGGTCAGGAGCTGAAAATTCGCGCATTTGCCAGGAAAGGCTTCAGTAAGGAACATTCCAAATGGAATCCAACATCTGGTGTAGCGTTTGAGTATGATCCTGACAACTGTATGCGGCACACTCTCTACCCGAAAGCTGAGGAATGGCCGAAGAGTGAGTTCTCAGATATTCCCGAAGAGGAGGCGCAAGCGCAATACGATTACACAGCAGAGCCTGAGCGGTTCTACCTCAATGTAGAGTCTACCGGTTCTCTTCGACCAGAGAACATTGTGTACATGGGGCTCAATGTGTTTAAGCACAAGCTGAATGACTTGCAGACACAGCTCCAGCATGAGACAGCTGAGGAGCAGCTGCGTGTGTAACCTTTTAGTTTTCAAAGCTGCATACGTCGAATAGTCTCTCTCTCTCTCTCTCTCTCTCTCTCTCTCTCTCTCTCTCTTCCACTCTCTCTCTCTCTCTCTCTCTCTCTCTCTCTCTCTCTCTCTCTTCCACTCTCTCTCTCTCTCTCTCTCTCTCTCTCTCTCTCTCTTCCACTCTCTCTCTCTCTCACCCTCTTGCTGTGTTTGTCTCAGTGCCCGCTTGAAGCTGCAACTCCCCCCCCCCCCTTTTTTTACATCATGAAAGTCTCTTGGCTGGTTAGAGTACATCACAAAATACCAGTCGTCAAATCTCAATAAAAATGTATGATTTTTGTGTAATATGTTTTGATTATCTTGACATAAACCATGCACCTCGGTCTTAGCTGTTGCAACTGGATTTTTTTCCATAGATCAGGTGCAGTCAAGAGTACATACTCCTCCAATGTGTGTGACTCCTGCATACAGTCTTGTCCCGACAGAATTTCAAGTGGATGCCATCGTGCAATGGTGATGGCACGCGTGATTCACGACAATGGTACTGGGTAAATATCGCATCCCGACTCGCTTATGAGGTCTGCAGTTGACACTGAGGATATATGGGCAAAGTGGTGGCCCGCCGATGCGAATGTCTTTGCTTGATGTGTTCTTCAACACGTCAGGTGATGTGACCGCGAATCCGGTTTACTTTACTTTTTACTAACGCATCACACGTGTTTCCTTTCACTAGCTTGTACTGGGTCAGATGGGGATTTGTCCGCCAGTGGTACAGGATACTTCTGACAATACGTGTACAGCATTCCCTCACTAGTGGGACCATTGTTATTAGGCTAGGGCCTATTTTGGACTTCCCACTCTAAATAAAGAATACAAACAACAACAGTACAATGTCGAACTGAAATTTGTCGGGACAACAATGACAGAGTTGCACACTCTTGGAGCTGTGTATTTTGTAACACAGATTGCCAGTGATTGATTTGTGAAATGCAACATCTTCCGAAGGTGGCAGTGGCTCGTAAGGATCGACGACACCCAGACCCTACACACACTGGCAATGCCTGCACCAACTGTGCACATGTGAGAGACTGGCTATGTCAATGTTCAAGAAACACCATGAAGCAGGGTGAAATTACTATCATGTACTTCAGAAAACAGCTGCTCAAATTAATGAAACATGATTTTTTCTGAACTTCTGTTCTTAGCAATGTTTGGATGTAATAATCAGAAAACAATAAATAATTTAAAAGGTGATTTCGGAGACAACAATTCTAAAATGGCAATAAAGAGGTGCTAATGTTCGACAACAGTTTTACACATCAATATTCAAATCCTCTGTTCTTTAAGTATAAATAAGCAAGTAAAGGTAGGCGTGAAATTAGTCTCACAGACACAGGGCAGTTATTACAGCGTGGGCGAGGTAATACAAGAACGGTGCCCATTGTACTAGTGTTGTGTTTTCCAGTGGGCAGCAGTCAGCAGAAGAAGATACAGTCACACTACTGAAAATACAAATGTAAATCACGAAGTCGTTAATCAGAATGATGCGATTCTGTGGAATATTCAAAGGAAGGAAAAAAACCGGTTATACGTGTGTGTGTGTGTGTGTATTTATAAATGGAAGAAAAAAAAGACTGGATGCTGATATACTGTCACAAATTGTGTACTTTTCTTTTCGGTACTTTCAGTGCATCTCTTCCATACCTAAAACTTCAATAGCTGAACAAACACTCACACACCACATCATCCAATAGGGAACTAATTCTCTTCACATACTGAGCCAATAAGAAGTGTAAAATAGAAGAAACTATCCACGACTGTATGCTTATTATCTTGTCCCAGTCGCGGATAGTTGCTTCATAACTCATCCCCATGTGTTTTTCTTCTATTTGATAACTCTCTTTACCTCTGAAAGTTTCTGTTCACCTAGCCTGGTCTTTTGCCCTCATACCTAACATTTTGAGCACCTCAAATTTCTGAAGTTGGAGTACACAGGAACATTCAAAATCAGCTAGAGCAGGGGTGTGCCTTCATCTTCCAGCTGATGAGAGATAGATGTGCCCTCGCCTGTAACGACACTTCTTGAGCCAGGTTCGTCCATTGAGAGCGACGAAGGAAAGGCGTAGAAGAATGCCAGCACCGACAAGAGAGTCAGTTCATATACAGCTGTCACATGCTCTATCCCTGTAAGACAAGAAGAACACAAATAAAACACAGGCACAGGTGTGAGTGTCCGATGAGACGCAGCAGGTGGGACCATCCATGTACGAGTACAGTGTAGTCACTGTCAAAAAAAAAGAGGATATACCAATAGCAAGAGTCCATAACCCCACTCTTGCCAATAGTGACAGCACGAACATGATCCATCCCATCCTTGATCCAGGCACACATATGCTAGCACATGCGGTGGACACACGAGTAATCCTTGCACACTTATGCCAGCCCGAATACATGTATACAGTGGACACACGGATGAATCAGAGCCTTGGTGACTTATAAACAAGCAAACTGGCAGCAGAGTGGCCATTGCCCCAATTAATTTATAACACTGAATGTTTCATCAGTCAGAACTGTATGGACTACACAAATGCATGAGGATCACGAAAAGCGAGACACGGCACAGCATGGACGATAAAAAGAGCTGGGAGCTGCGGCCAACACTCACATGTACTGAGAGTGGGTAGAGCCCATATACGAGTGCAGTGCCAAGCACCGGCATGTCCAAGAATGGAGAAGACCAGGCCTTGGAAGTTTGTCAGCACCAGGACAAACCAGATGGAGTGGAACTTGGCCGATGAGCGAAACTGAGTGTTGAGGAATCTCCGCGTCGTCAAGTTGAGTCGCACCAGCGTGCCAAGGCACAGTCCAAGAGACACAATACGCACTACCTGCAAGTAGATATAGCTGTCGGAAAAGCTCAGAGCCCCTGGTGTATAGTTACCTAACAGAGGTCGAATAAAAACCAGAACCAAATAGACAGTACACTGTGTGAACTATGAAGTAGCTGGGATACAAATACTTCAGTAGATGGTTTAGGTATCATGCAAGCACTTTCCTAGGTACCATGCCATCATTCGAAGACAGCACATAAACAGAGAGGAATGCCTGCGGTTTTTAGCGTAGGAAAACCAGGCTACATTTGCCAATCACCGATAAGTTTTTTCTCTGAGTACTACCATGCACATTGCCACAGGAAATGGGAGCAAGATGCGAATGTATTGAACGCCAGTCGGTGCATTTCTAGAGTTCCTGAACATGCTGAGAACTGGCTTACCATTAGCAGCCAACACAGTGCCTAAGAAACCAGTTGCCGACTGGAGGACGGAGTATTGCAAAACGAATCTCTTGAATCTTGTTAGTGTTTTCCTGCACAAGTGGAAATATGTCAAAAAGCCATGAAGATAGCACGGTGAAGGTGTCTTTTAATTCCTGTACATGTGTGACAGCTTCCAATTGCAAATCCAAAAAGAAAAGACACTTTGAGAATGAGTGAGTGAAGCGGGATACACAAGTTTTTTTCTGTGATGCGATGCATGACACAATATAGGGCAGTGCCCAACAGGGAAGAAAAGTCACGAAATACAACTCACGGAAGAAATCAGGGATGCAAAATCGCCTTGTCGATTCTTCCCAAAGGGAAATACAGGTGTGTACGACTAGCATTCGCGGGCATAACTTATACAAATAAAAAGCCCAGTATTCAACATTTGCTGCAGAAGAAAGTCCACGTCGTACATTGCATTGCAAAAGTTGACGCAGGCTCAACTTCTGCGATCAGTCAGTTGCGGTGGTTGCGTATGCTGCGAATTGGTGCAATTTGGAGATTACCCAGTTTCGTCACTTTCGTGGGCATTGCATTGCGTATCCCGTCACAAACATGCTTCTATGAATCCTGCTTGCGTGCATTTGGACCGTAGCATGAGGAAACCTCACTGACCAGCAATGCCAGCTCAAGTCCCAGAGCATGTCACATCAAAGGGCTGCGCCAGCTACGACCCGGAGCACTCATTGGCTCAGGAACACACACAATAGCTAATTCTCACATTTGCCAGCAACCCAATAAAGGCTACAACTACATTTGTGTCGGAATGCCAAAATAGATGCAAGCAAGACTCCAAATGGGCGGAAAATCAAACCCATAAAGATAATTAATGATGGTGCAGAGGGCTTACCGGGTAAACTCGCGCTGACAGCATTGCATTGAGCAGAAGCAGCACCAGCTGCACGGCTGTACAACGTTAGAGCCTTTCAGTTGTGCCAACATTGCTTCCTCGCCGCCGAAATAGGCCAGCACTTGAAAGAAGAACTGGACCAATACTATGGCAATGTAGCTGCAAGCAACACATCGTCAGAATTAAAATACCAGCAGAGCGTAGTGACTTAGTGAGGTATGGTGTCCGCACATTTGTCTACTGAGGTACACACTTACGAACACGCAGAATAGAGCATAGGCCAACGTGAGCCATGGCAATAATTATACGATGCCTACTTGTATACAAATACACTTCAGCCAGTACATAATTATTGTGAAGACCAACACCTGAACTATACAATTGTGATCAAAACACAACAACCACTAGTGTAGAGGTTCCGCGATTACATATCAAAATTTTGGAGATTGTCAGGTAGTGGCATCACAAGCACTGGTTTGCCACTCTATACACAGTGTACACAATGATGTCATTCGGATAACCTCTATCAGGGTATTTTGCAGGCACTTCCACTCCCAGCTCACGGGCCGATCTGACTTACTTCCAGGAATATATTTTGGCCAAAAATGGGTCGGACCCTGATGGGGCATGGGTGATCCAAGCTTGCACATGTCGAAAACTTGCACCCGGGGACGCACAGAATGTATGGTAGGAAAGCAGTGCTCTCCACTATGCCTAGATCAGGCTAGATGAGATTGAGAATACATTCCGTGTGCCGTAAAATCCCGCCAGAGCGCCGCCCCGTCTCTACTATCCGCCCCTCCCTGACTTCTTGTCAGGGACGTGATTGATTGTATCCTCATGACTCTGTCACAGTCCGTGATGCCGTACTGTACTGCAGACGCGTGCTCGACCCCGTTGGAAATGTACGCAACAGTGCCCACTCTCTTGAACAAGGATCGCACAAACCCTGAGTTTTGACGGGTCTGTACGACTCCTGGCTCTTGACCTTTGGTCGGTGTACGAGATGCAGGAACAGTTTTCGTAGGGTGAGTACTTTTTCATGTATCACAATGCGGCAAGTAGGACTCGCCCATCCGCCCCTCCCCACCTGAAGCGTCGAGGAGGTAGGGGCGCTCTGGCGGGATTTTACGGTACTGGTGACCAGGTCGTGACACCGGTCACCCATGTCACATAAAAGAATATGTGTAGCTCTCCTCCCCATCCACACTGGGTGAAGGAGGCCTTGCCTGGATGTACGTGCATACTCTCAGTATCTCGAAATGACCAGCAGCGAATGGCAATCTATGATTAATTTAGTAGTTTTTCGGCATACACAATGTGCATTTTAATGCCATTTCTTCAATCTTCACATCCCAGCTAGTTAGATGTGAGTTTGTAAAACACGCACAGACTCGCAACCTCCAATCCCCTGATCATGCCTGGCTAACACGTCTGGTTGGCCAGAACCAGCAGGCACTTACAAGTTCGCAATGAATTGACAGAAGACCATGGCGCGTGGCACAAAGGCCGCCAGCAAGTGAGTCGTGGTGACAACCTGCGACACATAGGTACAGAAGTGAAGTGGGAACAACCTAGCTTATACGATGCAGGGCCGGATAGACTAACTGTGGTGGAGAAGTTGTTACACTATTGAAACAGCACACAGATAGCAACATGAATTTGTCCTAGTTAATCATACAGGCCAATAAAAAAGTTTCAGTCGGTTAGCCGAAATAAAAGACTTTTTTTGTTTGGCCTTAGGGGGCGTTCGTTTTTGATCTACAGGTTTGGGTAGAAACTACTTCTTTCGGTAGAGGTGTTCGTTTTTTGAAAAAAAATCTACTCAAAAGGGTAGATTCTACTTTCCTCTACCGGCTCTACCAGGAAAAAGTTGGTAGAATCCGGTAGAAGTTGGTAGAGCTACGTGATTTCCAGCAAGATCAAGGATTTGTACACAACTCCATCCAAAAAAGGAACATTTCACGTACACATCGTGTAAACTACTAAATCCGGTAGAACAGCGTTCGTAAACTCGCCTCTACCATCTACCTCTATCGGTAGAGTGACTCTACTCTACTCTACCAGGTAGCTAAAAACGAACGCAGCCTTATGCTTCAAATTGTCTCTTGCTTTAGATTTTCAATGGAATTTATTTATTTCTAGCAGGCGTTCAGGCCCCATGGATTCATTGTATCGGCATGATTGAGTTTTGAGTCCTGATTGCTGGTTTTCATAAATGTTTAAGATGCAGTCTCCTTCTTTGCGTTTGGTTTCATCTTACTTGCCTGTTTCCTGATTCTGGTGATGTATCATTCATTCTGTGCCGTGGAACGTTTTTTGGCAGGAAATCTTTTTCACGTGTTTTGTGCCATCCTTTTCTTTTGGAAGCATCACCACCGTCCACGCAAAAGCACATCTGCCAAAGTGACATAGCATTTTGTTCACGCTATGTTCTAACATTCTGGCATTCAGTATTCATGTTGGCGGTTGTGGAAAAAGGAAAGAAGTTTCTTTCATGTGCTCACACACGTACAGTTGCAGAGCCCGAGGTGTAAAGGTTGAAGTGCAGTTCACAGCTCTTTGGGGAAAGGTAGTCAGTTTGATCTGCGATGCCTTTGCTGCACTATCCGACAAGACAAAGAGAGAAAGGGTCGAGATATCTGACTTGAGTGCGATGGAGAGTGTGATAATTCCAGAAAGCAGTAGCATCCAGGATTTTGGCTCATCACTGGTTTGAAGCCTACCATTCTAGGTTGATCTTCAGTGTCAACTGTGGTGGCTGCTGCTTCTTTTCTTTTCCCTGACCACCGTACATGTACTTATCGCTGATTTACAGCAAATCCAAGCTCGCGGATAGTAGCATGACATGGTGAGTGCATGAAAGGGTTCAAGACATGTACATGTACGTTTGTGGGGATATTGTGCCCCCCCCCCCCCCGCTAACATTTTCGTTCCTTTCTTTAAATTTTAATCCTTGGCTCTCCATCCAAGTCTTACTTGCACACCTGAATGGAAAGACTTTACTAAAAGGAAGGTGAAGAACTACACTCTACCTACAGGCTACAGGAATACATCCCTAGAGGCCATGCAATCTACCTACAGGCATACATCCTCAGAGGCCATGCAAATAATGACCATACCGGGAACACGAGCAAGAAGATGATGTGTCGTGTAATCCATGCCTGGCTCTTTATGGCGGGGTAGCGGGAAATGCGATGTAGCTGGACGCCGAGCAGAGCCCATACAGTTATGGTGCACAGTGCTCCTATAGCAAGACCAGCAAATGCTCCTGGACCAGTGAACGGAGAGAGTGAGAGAAAGAAAGAGAGACAGAGAGAGAAAGTTACATTTATAAAGACAGGTAAGTCTAACACATGAGGACTGAGACCTCTACAACAGGGTTTTTACGCCTGAAAGCGGGTGCATGATTTAACAAGCAGGTTGTCAGTCTAGATTTTACATGCAGAATTTTTGTAATGAGATGAAAAGCAGAAATAATAAGGAGAGAGAGAGGGAGATAGATAGATAGAGATAGATAGAGAGAGAGAAAGAGAGAAAGAGAGAAAGAGAGAGAGAGAGAGAGAGAGAGAGAGAGAGAGAGAGAGAGAGAGAGAGAGAGAGAGAGAGAGAGAGAGAGAGAGACAGAGAGACAGAGAGAGAGACAGAGAGAGAGCAACAAGGTGAGTTAGCACAGCACATCAGCAAGTTCGCCACAATCAAAGCAGTCAAGCCAATCTGAAAATTGTCCAAGTTCGCACGCCCCAGCTACCGAGTTTCTCACGTTTAATAGCCATGCAAAAATACGATAATATTGCAATTAATTATGCAAGCACAGCACAGCATAGCACAGCCTGGCACATCACAGCACAGTACAGCATTATAAAAACGTACGTGGGCGTTCTTCGAACACCTCCGACGTATACGGTATCTGCTCGCCGAACACTGATGGGCAGTCATCGCTAACGTTCATTCCATTGCTAGCCAAAAGCACAAACTGGGTGTGCATGGCTGAATACAGTGTCTGTTGGGTCAGCGGTTGATTGTGCTCGCTGGAATCGGACAGGCATAATTATACAGATATGTGTCGTCATACAGTCAACCTTGCGAATAACAACCCTCGATCGTGCATGAGAAAAAATGTCCTTATTCGCGAGTTGTTGGTATTCACTATTTCGTGTTGTTGGTATTCTCGAGGTAGAAAATATGCAGTCAAGTGGTCACTACTAGGTCTCAAGATCGTGTCGTTATTCGCGAGTTGTTATACCAGAGTTCGTTTTCACGAGGTTGACTACTCAAAAGCCCAAATCCTTTACAACACTTTACGCTGAAAATATAGGTGATATTACACCACACCTAAAATTTGTTTCACAATTCTTAATTTTCATTGTGCGCTTTCTTAGATACACACAAAAGTGACACAACGCGTACCCTATAAGTCATGAGGTGGTATCTATCACACTGTAGCATGAGGCAAGATCATGTGACAATAGCAATAGTACTGTATATTCAAGGATCATGTTGGGAGTCAAACCGCTCCTCTGGCCATGACGGAATGTTCCCCTGGCAAATCTGGCTGGATACGGCCTGGGAAATATTCTGATAGAGGTTATCCGAATGACATCATCATACCCTGTACTTCACTTCGCATCAACAGTAGACTAGGGTTAGGATCTCTTTAGCAACGCACACAACTAGACACATTGCGCGCACATTGCCAATATCAATGCCAATGAGTCTCACTGTGCTCCTCAGCCGCAGAAAATAAAATATCTGGATAGGCGAGGGAACCGGAAACGGATAACCGAAAACGTTGCACGGTACACTGTACGTCAAGGGTTTGTCGCAAATCCGCTCTAACCAATGTTGAATCGGTTGGAGAAGGAACAGAGTAAAAGGGCCAGATGAGCAAGGTCTAATTGCACAGTGATCATGCGCACCAAAGAACATACATGTACGGTTAGTGTAGATTTTATAAATCCATGAATATGTTTACTGAAAATGTAATACTGGATAACGCCCGATAACCCGAATTCTGGACATATCAGCCTTTGCCTCTAAAGTTGTAAAGCATTTCTCACGAAACTCATGACCCAGTATCAGTACTTCCACTTGCAAAGCAGCACTACCCTTCAAGTTAGTTGAAGGCATCAAAACACTAAGTGACGTCAGTCTGATGTTGCTGTCAACAAAAAGCCAACCATACTTTTGCATGGGAAATTAACCATTGCTGCTAATTTAAATAGAACTTTACCTTGCCCTTCCTGGTTGCGTCTTCCTTGAAGTAGATCCTAGTACTTAGTAGATAAATAATGTCTGGTCACCTCCACTCACATATCACCGACAAATTTCTTCCGCCATGACCATGATGACCCGAGCTTAGAGTACAAATTTCAAGACAACCATGACTTATTGTGTTTCAAACAATGTTATTATGGGTGCCAGGAAACATGATAACAAAAACTATTCGCCTCAAAGCCGCTTCGCAACATAGAAATGTTCGAAACAAGTCAAACTAGCAGGCCAGCAAGCAGCAGCATCCCATAGCCTAGCCTACATCATGTAGTCTGACAACCAGGACCTAAACTTGACGGACGTCGAAGCAGCTGCTCAGCTGCACCACAGTCTACAGTACACTACTGCGGTGCTGGGGAAGGGGAGCCATCTGCCAGCTAGCCTCCTTCGAAAAGAGCACACACCACGCGCGCCTGCATGGACCCATGCCATGGACATGTCACATGCCACATGGTGCAGGTGGAAGTCACGTCAGGCAACAGCACCTTGTTTATATATTCATATCTGAGCCAGAAGATTTCGTTGTCGCTGTGATGGCCGAGTGGTTAAGGCGTTGGACTTGAAATCCAATGGGGTCTCCCCGCGCAGGTTCGAACCCTGCTCGCAGCGTATGGGTTTTCTTTTTTCTCCTTTTTCCGAACACACAAACAAGAATTTCCATCATTCAGTGCACTTATGGTATCAAGAGTACAATAAGTCAATAACCCCATGCCCAGGGGGAGCTGGAGGGGTGGGTTATTTGTGTAGGTACTCTTGGTGGTACAGTAGCAAGTAGGGAGTAAAATTGCATTTTACTACGTTCCAAGTTCTTGAGAGTACATAGACAGTATCAGGGAGTTGTACCCAAACCATTTCTTTTATTTTCACCTACATTGTATGAACATCATCATCATGAGTACACGGGTCAAACAGAAGATCACCAGAGGTGTTCAGGTTTATCATGCAGGCAGGCAAACTGGTGCGGCCTTTTTTTAAATACCGTGAGTGGATGACGCAATTCAGCAACTTGAAACCGCGGTCCGACTGACACATTCCATACTGCCGGAGCCTGAGGCCAGTGAGGGACAAAGACAAAAAAATCGGCTACTGTGATGCACGTAACTGTACACATGGACAGCACAGCGCACTGCTGCTGTGCTGTTCGGGTCATACGGCACCCACAAAAGTTCCATTCGGCCACAGACGCTCACCAACTCAAACCGATGACACTAATGCATGTGCCAGGGCCATTTCCGTGACGGAGGGCATTAGCGGCGAGCACCAATCACAAACTTACAATGGTGGCAGCGACAACCGTGACTGTGGTTGCGAAAAACTGTGACAACATAAAAAATATATAATACAGAGTATGAAGCGGCTAAAACTTTAAGACTGAAATGATTGGAAGCCAGGGAGTGTACATGTACTCGAATGAAGTACAAAAAAAAGAGGATAAACTGCGCACTCATATTCTATACACACATCAAGGCCGGCAAAGTAGTTGGGTAGTGATCCAAGAACGTCACAGTTTTCTCGTGATGGTTATCAGTTACAAAAACTTGAAAACGCGGTAGCAGCACACCCCGATTGGACTGTATAATAGAAAGATTCTAGGCACTGTGGCGTGTTATTAATAATGCCTGTGGTTCAAGGTGTTGCTCAAGTTGAAGTACACACGCTGCAGTCGAGTGTAAGCTGGTCAAGCATCAGACAAAGGGCCATGACAGCAAGCCTCCATTAGTCACGGTGTTACTCAGAGTCATGCCGCCATTTCAATGGTCGTAATGCAGCACAAACTCATAGCCACTGCGGCAAGTGAAAACAGAAAAGAAATGAATCGAACTACATGTAGACACAACTGTCAGTCACGGTTGGGTGACTGGTTGGGAACTAGGCTAACACTAGAGCAGCAGGCCAACCTGCCCCGGGTCAGTACCTGAGCTGCAGGCTTCAAGTGTGCCACATCATAGCACAGCACAGCCGCTTTGAAAGCTAGGGGAGCTGGCAGCAACTTGTGTACATGTCAACCGAAAAAAGTGGAATGGTGTGCAACCAACCAACGCAGCCGGCAGTGTTTAGAATTGTTCCAAGTGTCCGGCGGACACCATACTCATGCACAGGATGCGTGAGCACTAGCCGCATGGTGCAGCTCGTCTCAGATTGTACGTGTTGACTCAAGTACTGTCAGTCAAAAAGCACTCTGACATAGCACTCTGAGCAGCAAAGGAAGCATGCTGAACATCCGGGCAACCACATCTAGCGTCTTGAAACTTCAAAAACGATACCCGTGAAATCAACAAATGCCCGGTGGAACCGTCTCGATGTCCCCGAGGCCAGACACAGCACTGACACACGCGCGCAGTATTAAAGTATAAATAGTAAATAGTACTCAGCCAGTACGGGCATAAGTACTGGCATCGAGGGTGCGAATGACTCACAGTCACCGCATTGAGCTAGACTGCCGTACCAGTGAAGCTATCGCACCACCCTACTCTACACTGCCACTTCCTGATGGCTGCACTGCAGGTGTCACACGGAATGATATTTCCAGAATCACAGAAGTTACCAGGAGCTGAAGCAGGAAGCTTACTGCAGTCTCTCAGAGACAGAGGCCAGACTCGTTCACGATCAGCTTGTTGAGCCCACACCATCACACTGAGTTACCAAAACGACGATGGGACAATTTGCCGGCATGGACGACGTCGTGTTAGAGACTGGTTTCTGCTGAGGTCACGGAGCCAGTCCACCAAGTACACACGCTGGCCAATGACCCTACTCAGCCCCGCTGCAGACAGGGAGAACGCAGAGTGACTGGCTACCAGAAGACGGCAACGCTGCATTAGCGCATGATCCAGCATAACACGTCGTTCACCGTCCGCTATGGCCTGTGGCTCGCTGCCACGATACTTGCTCAGCTTGTCGATGTGCAGCACCGGGCCTACACCCTGAGTGTGCACTATGCGGTTAGGCTTCGGTAGGTTCAGATGAGCCTCACTGAGGACTTCATCATCGTCCGATATCAGCAACCACGATCTCACATGAGAATCACACCTAGGCACTGTAACCGTAACCTGCTGTTTTCCACCATTGACGACATTTAGAGACACTTCGTCCTGCAAGTCTGTCTTGACACGGGCAGCACACTTCCAGAACGAGTTCAAGTCAAAATGACGAACAGGATCAATCGAGGCTTTGCCTGTGACACCCATGTTTCCACCATGCCGGACGTGCATACATATTCCAGTGGCAAAGTTCCACTTGTTCTTCGTGACGTATTCTTTCAGTGAGCGAATCAGGTCAGTGGATTCTGTGAAAAGCCAGTGGAAGGCCAGGCCCATCGTATCCGCTGGGACGTGTGCAAATTCGAGCTCCTGTTCAAGCATTCTCACAACGCAGGACTTGGCATGGTTGGTGGTGATGCGGACGATTGCGGGGCTACGCGGGTCCATTATCATCGACACGAGCTTGGTGCATCGCAGCGCATCCTTCTGACGGTGCAAGGTTAATCGGTCCACAGCTTCCATGCGCTGGTGCATGGCATCATTTTGCAGAGTACTCAGTCGCCAGTCCAAGCTGTCCCCACCGTGTCGCGGCACATAAAAATTTTCCAAGTCAGTCGGCTTGGTCCAATTGATGAAAAAGGCACGGTTAGAAATAACTGCAGCGAAGTAGAGGACAAGGACACCTTCAAAACGATCTGCTAGGCCGCCACAGAAACCCCCAAAGCCGCACACATACACAACAGCTCTCAAGTTTTCACCATTGCCATTCCGATAGCCGCGCTGAAGCTGACCGTGGGCACGAATCACCTTTATCAGCTTGGCACGTGCTGCAAAGTTTCTACCGTCTGTACCGGACGATTCCTTCTTGCCACCATCGACTCGAGACACAGAAGCTCTGGGCGCTGAGAACCAGCTCTGTGTTTCTCCATCCGGTAACCATTCTGTCGTGCCATCAGCGGCGGGACAGTCAGATCTAACCGTAGTGGCCGGAGTATGCCAAGCGGTGTCAGGAAATTCGCCAAGGATCACGACTGCAGATAGGAACAACCAAACGGCTAGGGTCTTGCGCCGTTCCCGACAGCAAACAACCGCTCGGCCAGCAGACTGGAAAAGGCCGCGTATGAACATTGATGGGTGCGGGTCAGGTCAGAAAGCATGGTCGCTAGCTTCGCAGTGAGACATTCTAGGCGGAGATCTAAATCCTATGATTGATGAAAATTATGGGTATTTAATAGTTCAAACCAGTGGATGTTTCATACCAGCGATCTCCCGCACTGCAAGGAGCTTTATTTCACATGGCGCATCCATCGTCATCGTATCGACTGTCGGTAGGACTACGAGTCGCCCTGCTACCGGCGCTTATCTGACTTCTGAGTCGTATTGTTGGCTAATGAATGAGCTAGCTAGAGCTGCATGCTGATGGCCCAGACTGCACTGGCCAGAGCCAAGGGGGAGCCAGTAAAAACGACGGCACGTGGCCGTGGATCTACCTGGCCTGGAAGGAGGGGAAGGAAACATTCAAACATTAACAGCAGACTGCTACAGTAGTTCAGTAGTTGGAAAGGCGAATAAACGACGTGTCGCACATGCACATGTACGTGGTGATCAGGCCGGGCTAGCTCACCAGTGCAGTAGACCTACTACCAAGAGTACATAACCCCCCAGAGTGTGCAACGCCGATCCAGCTCTGTGTAGGGTCTTGGTCGAGCGGAATCGGATCTTCTGATGTCATGCGTACACTTCACACCAGCGCAAGGCCGGTCTCGAGGCAGGGCACCATTGTTTTTGATCCAAGAGTACCCGCGACTCCCCGGGTTCCCCTCAGATATGACGCAAAGATCCGATTCCGCTCGACCAAGACCCTGCCTATGCAGAGCTGGATCAGGCGTTGCACACTCTGGGGGGTTATCATGGTTATGTACTCTTGCTACTACTACTACTACTATATATTGTAGTACTACAGTACAGATACTGCCGACTGGCAGTAGATTCTACGCGGCACCGGTGCCGTGGGATACCGCATACCGGTGCACCACGAGTCACGTGACTCACGTCGCGTCGGATCGGACGACCAAAAAAATTATTTATTTCAAAAAGCGTCGATCATCTGTACATTGAAAAAATGGTGACGGCCGGCCGCGGACTGGCGCGGCGCGGAGGCCAGAGACTAGTTTGTGCAGCACAGTCATACTATATTGGAAAGGCTTCCTGTCTGAAGCCTTTCCATACTGGTACTCGATGTTCCAGTTTTGTGACACGAGAATGGCACGAGAATTAGTGTACCGCTGAGTGTACCGCTATACACGTGGT